CCATTAGCTGAATGTACTATCAATAAAATCCTGGGTCACAAGTACTCACCTTAATATTTAAAAAAAAAAAAAAAAATTAGTAAAATTTATTTTTTATTTTTTATTATAAAATTTAGAAAATTTGTATCTAATTTTAGTTAGTTAATAGAAAACAACTTATTATATAGTTATATGCTTAATTTGATTGACTAATTATATAGAGTTGTTATGATAATTTGTTATTATAAAATAATACTCTAAATATATAACTAAAAAATATTTTTAACTATATTATTGTTGTTATAAATATTTAATATAATATTATCTTTTTATTTTTTGTTATTAGTTAATTTATTGTTATTTTCTAAATAGTTAAAATTAACCAAAAAAATATTTTTTAGTATACTGTGTACACTTGTATATTGAATATTAATTGACTATTTTAAGATACTAGAATCATTCATTTGTCAATTACAAAGTTTAAAATAATTAATATTATAATTACATATATTTATACACTTTTTGCATAATTATATATAATTATGTAAGAGGTGCATAAAATATGCATAAATATGCCAGTAATGCATAATATATATATAAATATATGAGTAATATATAAAATATGCATAAATATATAAGAAATGCATACATATACATAATTATAATATTAATTATTTTAATTTTTGTAATTGTCAAATAACTGATCCTAGTATCTTAAAATAATTAATTGTCATTCAGTATACAAGTATATATAGTGTATTCAAAAAATATTTTTTTAGATAACTTTAACTATTTGAAAAACAGCTATAAACTATTATAATTATTAATTATAATAAGAAATAAAAAGAATCTTTAGTTTTTTTTTTAAAAAAAAATAATTTTTTTTAGTCTTTTAATTTTTATTAATTACTTTTTTAATAATGTAATTTTTGTGAACTATTACAAAAAAGATATACAATTGGCTACATATTTAAGTTTTTTATATTATTTATTTAAAAAGTTTATTTAAAGATTCTTTATCAATTGCTATATTTAACATTTTTGCTTGGGTGTTTTATTTTAAACTCTCTAAATCTGCATCTGTATTAATATTACTAAGTTATGTTCAGGTCATTGTTTCAACTTTAAAACTATTTTATCCTTAATATAAACCTTTTAGAATTTTTTATACTTATTTTTACAACTGTCTGATATCATTATAGCAGAACTAATACTTGCAGTCAGAGTTTTATCTTTAATTATTATGCTCTTATAGAGTTTACTTGAATCTTAGCATCTACTTTATAGCATATCTCTAGTACTTTAGTATATCTTTATCTGTTTTCTAGACTTTTAATTCAGATAGTCTATATAGAACTTATAGGTTTAACAATAAAATTTTGATAGCCTATTGGGCAGCTAATAGGTCTAATAAAGATTGCATATAGATTACAATACTTATTTAATAAGTATTAGTAGATAGCTTACTAATATTTGGCACATATATATAATCTATTAGAATGATATATATTAGTCACTTTCTGTAACATATATATAATATCAGCAAGAGTATTAGCTTTTAAAATATTAATACTATATTTACTAATATTTATATAATATTATTATTTCTAAGTGGTATATATTAAATATCAGAAAGTATTAGTTTACTAATAGCTTTATAAATTTAGCCAACTATTGGTGCTGTAACAATACTATAATTTCTCTGTAATTTTTTTTTATTATTATTTTTTTAGGAGTTCACTAAAATGCACCTATGGTACTAAACACCATAAGTGCTATTTCTCAAAAATATACTAAGTAAATAGGATTAGATACTCTAAGTAAAAATATTTAGGACCCATGAAAACCTTACAAGAACTAAAATCAGGACCTTATTTATAATCTACATTATAATATATAAAACTCCTCTTTATTCTAAAACTGCATTCTAATTCTAAATTTTATTAATAAAATTTTATATAGTGTTCAACACCATAGATGCATTTTATAATTTTTGTTGTTTTAAGTTTCTTTTTAATTATATACTAATTACTATAATTAATTTAGTTATATTTAATTTATTAGTTTATTAATTATAATTAAAGAATATAGTAACTTAGTAAAATAAATAAGTTGTTATCCTTCCAAGTAGTAGATTGTGAGTTCAAAACTCACCAATAGCAAAATTTGGATAAACACCTATGTAATATATAGATGAAATTATAGTAACAGCATTCTGTTAATCAGTTAAGATAAAATATCTGTAACTATAGTTGCACTAGCATAACTGGCAGGTCTGGAGCATCTGTATAACTTTGGTTATACAAAGAAATACAAACTAGTACTAGGTGATGCAAATCTAAAATAAATTTCTATAGTCATGTAAATCTATAGAACTGGAAAGCTGAAGCTCACTTGAAAATTCTGAGTAAAGAGATAGCATGAATTTTTAATAATACTATTGTAAAGATTAGATCTAAGAAATAGATACCAATATAAAAAAATTAGACAAGCAAGAATCTCAGATGAGGGGTACTACCAACTAGGCTGCCAGATTTCAGATTGAAGAAAAAAGATATTAGGCCAGCTTCAATATACCAAGAACAAATCACAGTTCTATCAGGCTATCTGAATTGTAAGTCTAAAATTAAAGCAAGTGTATATTAAAAGTACTAGAGATATATTGTAAAGTTAGTATCAGGGTCTGAGTAAACTCTGTAAAAGTAGCCCTTGTTAGTGTTTTAAAAATAGGTAGATAGTTAACAACAGGAGGCCTTCTGTGCCTTACTAACAGATAATGTACTCTAAAATGTGTAATAATCTAGAAACTAGTACAAAAAGGATAGGTACTATACTGCTCAAATAGTATACTAGTTAGATATATATAGAGAGTTAGTTGGTGTTATATTATAATAGAAGCAGATGATCAAAAGATTTAAATAAATAATCTTCTAGTAAGTTATAGATATAGCATTTAGTATAGAACTCTAAGACAGACTACTTAAATAGGCAATCAAAAGTTGAATATGTCATTAGTTGTACTCTTATCTTTGTATAAAATAGTATAATAACTAGTTTTAATAATATTAATAAAGTTTCATCACAAAGTATGACCTTTAACAAAAAAAAAATTATAATTAAAATTAATTAGTAAATATAATATAGATAGATAAACATTATTATAACTTAATTACTTTACACTATAGTGCAATTTTGCTTATCAATAATATAATTAACATGTGTATTAATAATTGACTTTAATTTGTAATGATTTACATTTATTTTCTATTTCTATTTTTATTTATTATTAATTATATGCCAAAATTTTTTAGATAAATTAATAAGCCTTATAAGTGAACTAAGCTTCTATTTTTAATATATTTTTATTCTTAAATTTATATACTTTTAAAAATTATTTAAACTTAGCAAGATTTCTTTAATAAACTTTAAGTATTTTATTGGCAAATTATATACAAAGTACTTCAAATAACAAAACCTTTACAAATGCATTTAATATTTAATAAGATTTATATAATATATAGACATAATATTTTTATAATAAAAGCAATTTTTATTCATTTATTTTTATATATATTTAAAATTTAACAATTTGAAAATACTGTATATATAAAAATATATTTTTAAAATTTTTATTAAAATCTATATGCTATATCTATTACTAATCTGCTTTATAATATAAACAAAAATACATTTATCTGTACTAATATAAATAATGATTCAAGTCTTCTTTTCTTTGTTACATTTTACATATAAGCTTCTGTATGCTTATTGATTATAAGGTCCAATAAGTTTCTAAGTATTATTTCTTTATTTTTATTTATTGTCAAAATAATAAATATATATAAAAATTAAGTCAACTAAAAAAATAATATTCAAAAGACCTATATTTAGATGTTATTTATAGTTTTATTCTTGCTGCAATCAAATTTTCTAGTTGAAATATTCAATCTTTTTTTATATTTGATTTGACTAGTTGTCCGAAGCGTAGCGAGAACTTACAATGAAGACGTAAATATACAAAATGTCTTGGGTTCTGCTCATGTGATATATATCCAATCAGAGTTTAAATTAATATAACATATCAACATGAATCAGTCTGACAAAATGGAAAATCTTGTAAAATTAAAAGCTTCGAACACTAACAGAACCTGTTTTCCTAGTATAATTGTCTGAAGCATACAATGGAGACATAAACAAAATGTCTTGGGTTCCACTCACATGATATATATCCAATCAGAGTTTAAATTAATATAACAGATGGAAAATCTCACAAAATTAAAAGCTTCAGATACTAACAGCACCTGTTTTCCTAGTCTTATAAACAGAAGTTTTAGTATTAAGTTGCTAATAAATTTCCTATTTATTTTTAATTACATACTCTAGTTTAGTTCTATGAGAACTATATTTAGAATTAGTTAGTTTATAATAATTTGTCAGATTCTAAGTTATTATCAAACTGAATATTATTAGGCTCAGAATTGTTAAGCTTAGCATTGTTTGGTCTAGAATTCTTAGGTCTAGAATTATTAAACTCAGAATTATTAGATTCTGAATTATTAAACCTAGTAAATGTATTGAATATAAAATTATTATCATATCGATTATTATAAAATAAACCAATTATTCAAAAGGGTACATTAAGAAATGATCTTATTTTGTTTTTCTAATTTTTGTTATAATGTTATTTTTTTAAAATTTTATTAATTTGGTTTGTTAAAGCCATCTCTTTAGCTTAATAGAAAATTTTTTGCACTATATAGTTTTTAAAATAATTGTAGAATTAGCTAATATGACTATTTTACTTTATAAACTTAAAGTAAAATTCAGAATTACCTTTTTAGATCTTTATAGAGAAACAAATACTTTAATAACATAATTATTTTTATATAGAATTTTTTGTTACTGCAAGTTCATTGTCAGTTTTAGTTAACTTATCAGAATAATAAACTGTTATAATAACAACTTTAGCAAGATCTTCTTTTTATTTTTTTATTCTAAAGCTTTTTTGTTAATATTTCTCAATTATAGAATCTTTTATATATATTATGTATTGCAAATCAGAAACTTTAAATAAATTAAAATAAACAAATATATAATAAATAATAGTCATATACATTTTGCATATGTGATTTTTTTCTATATTATTTCTTATTTGCTTTATGCATTACAGAGTTTGCCTTAATCTTTATTATTAAAAATGTTTTTATAATTTGTTTAAAGCATATTAACAACTTTATCATTTAAATATTTAAGACTTTAATTAATACACTTTTTTAAAGCAAATAAAATAGAAATTTTAACAAATTTTTTTGTTCAAATCATGATTTTTTATTACTAATCACAAGCCTAAAATGCTCATTTGCTAATTACCTAACTGTATGTAGTACTTCTTTTTATAATAATAAATTATACAATCTAATATTCCTATTATTAGTATTATTAATTAATTAATATATTAATATTGTTATATATATTATATTCTAAAAGCTGTTTTATATTCTTTGTTTATTAGAACTAATTGCCTTTTTCTGTACTTTTCTTAGTTTAAATTACAACTTCTTCTAGATGAAAAAAATCTTTTATTTTCCTTATTTTTTTTTTTTTTTTTGATATTAAGATGACCTCTTTGGTCTTTTGACTTTTATTAATCACTTATTGGTATTGTGGTTC